CAGCCTGACATCGCTACTCAGGTTTAGCAGCAATTCAGACATGAGGTCATTGGCTCTTCACGCTCCCACAGAACTTGACATTTTACCAAAGGCTTTTATGTTCATTCATTTCCACTTGAACCCAATTCCTAATCTCTCTCAACACCAAGTCTCTTAAAACAATCCTCATTCCTTCCCCAGGAACAAACTATATTTTGACTTTCATATGAACTCTGTGTCCTTCTTTCTCTTTCACTTCAGTCTCTTCTTCACCCCTTCCATCCTTCACTCTTTCCCCACTCCCTCACCTTTTTAACACATACCTCTTTATCTAACTCTTTTCAAAGCTCTCTCTTTTTAATTATCTCTATGCTCACTATTCCCTCCTGTCACTCAGACTCTTCTGTAGCATCTCCCATCTTTGATTCTGACTGCTTCTCTTACACACTTTCCCTGTCTCAATCTCCTGATGTGTCTTTTAAGTGTGTACCGGACTTAATATTAACGCGGTATTATGACCTTTTGCCTGGTCAGGGGTCCTAAACATCTCCCCATGTGCATCCACCAAAGATAGGCTGCAGCCTATGTGTGGCAACCTGAAGAGGTGCCCTTCCATGGGTGGCCTTTGCCTAAGATCTCTCCTTCCTTATGATCTGGGCATCCTCCTAAGGCATCTGGGTCCTCCCTCTGTACTGACAGCAGGGATAGGACACATGGCTGTCCTCACTATATGCTAACATAGACTATGCAGGAATTACATATGTACCTCATTGCAGAACTGCAAACGAGGGTGGAGTCTGTCTGAGAGTTGGGATCTCTATCTTTTGGTCTCAGAAGAGACCCAAATCAGTATGTACACTTGGCAGATTAAACTCTTTCCTGTGCCTTAGTTTCTTTATCTATGCAACGAAGATTAAGTCTGAACTCATTAATCTTTAAGCACTTGTGTAGTTCATAGATTTTACATTCTGAAGCTTTTGTAAAGTAGAAACCAGGTTGCTTTTTCATGGAATTTCAAGAGAGGAAATGAAAATACAGAGCTGTCTTCTACCACCAGGTGGTAGAAGGTGCTAGGTGTGGTCACCCGGAGAGCGGTATGGAGGAGAACAAAGCAGAGCTATAGCTGTCTCATGAAGACTTTAGCTGATAGAGAGTTGGAGCTCCCAGGCCAGGCAGTTGTCAGGAAATGAGGCCTATGGCAGAATGGGTGGCCATGTCTGCTGGCTACTCCCTGGGGGTGGACCGGAGATTACTTAGAAGAGGAAGGGAAGGAGGAGGAGGCGGCGAGAAGTGACAACAGCCTTGGATGCTGAAAAACTTTAAGACCTTCCAGTACATGGAGGACAAAGAAGCTTCAACCTCCCTCCTGTCTGGGACTCAGGAAGGGAGACTTGAGAAAGCCCAATTTAGACTCCTCAGAAATAGCTGGCTTCTCCCTAAGCGAACTTAGCATGTAGCTCCAAAAGGTGACGAGGACTGGGGATGAAAACAACTGCAAGGAAAGTTTCACTGAAGCCAAAGATGAAAAAGGTTGAACAGAATGAATTACTGTTAATATAGCTGTAGTTTGGAGAATCCTCTAGATCTTGAGGCTGTCATAATGAGGAAACCCTGCTATATTCCCTGTAATCCCTCCACGAGCAGATCAGGACAGACACAGGATCTGCTCACTGAGAGGCCTCCAAGCTTGGGGGATTGGGAACAATGAGCAGTGGTAGAGGGTGATGGAGAACTCCTGATGGGGAGGAGATTCCATCTGAGCCTTTGAGTGCCATGGTCTTTATTACCAGTTTTGTCAGTGGGAAGATAAGCATGTTGGGCAATAAGAAGACTTTGTATCATAGACCACCCCTATAATCACTTGCTTTGTGACCCAGTTTCTTCCCCATAAGTAAAAGGAGAGCCCAAGATTCCAAGAAGTCCCTTCAGGATTTAGCATATTACAACTCATGTGAGGTCATCTGATCCTTGATCACATGCCAGCCAGTCCCATAGTTGCCATGAGGGATCAAATTGCATCAGCTATGTAATGTGTCTATCACAGTAGCTGGCGTCTGAAAAAAAAAATACCTCCTACACAACACAGCAGTAGAGTTATGCTAGTTTTGGGTAGAGCTGAGATTCTAAATCAGATTTATCTGAAGTTCTGTTTTCCTGACTCCTTTTCTGTTTATCCATATGTCTGGGCCTTTGAAGGCCCCTTTCTGGACAAGAAAATGCCTTTGTAGCTCTCTCTCTCACGGGGCACTGATCTTTGCTATCACTTCAAACTACAGTTTACATGCCTTGTCCTCTGAGGAGCCCTTTTCCCTTCCTTCTAATTTCTTTCAAAAGGCTTCACATGATAACTCTTTGGGAAGCAATGGCATTCCTTAGAACACTGTTTTGCAAATTAAATTTTGTTATTATTTTTCAATTGTGCATGTCATCTTTCATGTTTGTAAATTCTTTCCTCAAAGGGATGGGATAATTTGGTTTTTTCTTTTGGTTTTCAAGCAGCATTATTCTATCCATCATGATGCTCAAGACAAAGTCTCATAGACTATTAAGATTATAGAAAACTAACACTGTAGAATCTCAGTGTTGAGCAATAGTTCACCTGGACTTCCTTGTATTTCTCCCAGAGCTTTTTCAGTAAATTTGCATTCAGCTTTAGCTTGAGCATCTTAGAATTGAAACTTACTCTTTCCTGGGGTGGGTGGATCTGACTCTGCCAATAACATATTATGTGGCTGCCAGTCACTTCTGTCATCTGACTTTTCTCTCAATTGTTCCTTCTCTTGCAACTGTTCAGTGGACCTTATAACTATCCTCCCAACAAATCCCATCATTCTAGTTGAATCCACTAACATTTTGTGTACTTTTCAGAACAGATACCTAATCGACCCCCATTTGCTCTTTCTTCCATGCAATCTACTTCCCACAGAGCTACCATGAAGTTGAAAAATGCAATGTCCCCTCTAATACTTCCCTCCTTCAATGGTTGTTAGAATACAAACTTGACCTACAAGATCTGCACGCTTTTCCACTGCCTACTGCTCTAGCTTCATTCCCTTTACTTACTCAGCTTCAACAATGATAAGATATTCCTTGAAAGCAACCAAGTTCATTTTCCTCTTAGAATATTTGGCTCTGCTTGAAATCTTTTGCATGCTTATTGCCCCAGTGTTAGCTAGATAATACTTCATCCGAACAAGACACACCAAAGCCTCACTATTGGTATCTAACCCAACAGAGGTACCTTCACAACTCTCCTCAAATCAATTTAAATCCCATTATTAATTGCTTTTTTGAAATCCTGTATTTCTTCTTTATTCTGTAAATTAAGTAAATTTTAAGATACCCCTTTCTTCTATGCCTGAGTGTCATGGGATCTGGGGCCATCTTTATCTCATTTTCTATTGTGTCTTCAATAGCCATCATGGTACCTGGGGCATAGGAGATGTTCACAGAGCAGGTGCTGACCACTAGGATGAATACTTTTAGTGAGTTTACATTTCCTTTTTTACTCTCTAAAATAAGAAGAGGGGGTAAAGGGTGTTAAAATACAAAAGAAAGGCTTCAGAGTCAGGCTCACATTTGAAACTGGGCTCTGCCTCTCACTGGGGGTCACACTGCAAGCTGCTCAATCTATCTGGAACTGACTTTTCAGTTGTAAAGTGGAGGCCCCGTTTTCCTCAAAAGAATCTCATAAAGAAGTTCAAATGGCATTATGTTGGCTCTCTCTCACCTCCTAGGAGGGGATCTTTGGTAAGTTATTTTAAATTTCTGTTTCTCATATCTGTAGAAAGGATATGATAATAGTTTCTGCCTCCCAAGACCAGTGTGAGGATTACACAAGTTAATAGATGATAGAAAGTTCTGGAATATCCTACATATGTCCTGAGTTAATGTTGGTGGCCACTATTATTATTAGTGATAGTAATAGGAGTGAAGAGCTTAACATGAGTGATCCTTAACAACAGATAGTTACATCATCACTCCTGCTACAATGATGACTACTACCAGTGAGACGATGTGGTGGGGACAGTGATGACTGTGATTGTGACTTGGTCTTAGTTCTGCATTTTTATATGACTTCAAATAATAAGGATGATCTAGCTTTGAAATAGCACCCTACTGCATTTCCATGAAAAACTACTTACATTTTTTGCCTTAACGGAGTCAACTTTTATACATATAACAAGTCTTCTCACTCTACCCACTTACAACTCTTCAGATTTTGAGGCATGAATAAGTCCCATCAAAGTTTTCCAGGAAGAATAACCTTGCTATCTTCAAGGGGGTTATTTAAGAGGGGCTTTCACTGTTATCTTGAACGTCTAATCTTACATAATCTGGCCAGTCAAGTTATGGTTCTATTCCTTCTCATATCAGGAGTGTTCCTTTTTATGTTTTAATTTTCCATGTACTGTTGTATCATTAGTAGAAAAAGAGGTCATTGGCATATTACTGGGAACAAAATGACAATTTCTGAACAGAATTACCAAGAGAGAGTTGAGGGGTGTGTGAGTGTGTGTGTGTGTGTGTGTGTGTGTGTGTGTGTCTATACATATATAGACAGAGAAATAGAGAAGGAGAGGGGAATATAATAAGAGAGAGGTATTGGGTGTTTCTGGGTGATGGGGTTTTTGTTTTCAACTTCACTGAATGTCTTTATTTTTGAACTGCCTGAATAGCAGTGATAGGATACTTACTTCTTAAAAGACTAAAAGATTAATTAATTTTAAAAAGTTCATTAGCTTTACTTTCAAGGATGATTTAAGGTTAAACTCAAAATATGGGGACAGAGTTAGAAAATGGGAAAGTAGGGCAAATAAGGGCTAGGTCAATGGAAAAGGAATATTACAGAATGACTTTTGATGCGCTGAAACACTCCTTGGATAGGTATCAGTGATCTTGGGGGAGATGTTCACCAGTATAACAGGTCTCTATTCCACTATATTCATGGTTTCCTCCCCATGTGCAGATTCTGGGTCCATGACCAACAACGTGCAAATGTCTGTCCCTAAAGGACATACCTGAAAGTCATCTGGAAGACTTGGCCTTGGTTCACATGCTGGGTCCTGTTGTTGTAACCATGTAGCATCTCTCCAAAGAGGGTGTCATTGAATTTGGAGTCAGGTTTGAGGCACTTTGGGCCCTCACAGACATCTGAGAGCATCAGGCAGGATTTTCCATCAGGAGCCAGCTTGTATTCCTCCACACAACTGCATGATAAAACAGAAGCAAGAGTTAGCTCTGCATCCCAGGTGCCCCATTGCAGGTGACCTAAAACCAAAGCCTTCTTTGCTTGTAAAACAGGTCAGAGTTTAGAAATGGAGACAGCTATTTTGACTGGGATCTATCTAGGGCACAGGTGTCTAGAGAGAAGCACATTAATCCTGCAAATTGGTAAATTCAAGGAAAGTCATTTGTGACATTTTGGAGGAATTGAGGGGGAAAACCAGCATGCACATCCACACACAAAGCAAATTTAAAAATGGTTTTCCATGAACACACAGACTTTAAAAAGCATGACAGACCAATTCACGGGGAATTATCAACTAGTTGCTCAAACAAGAATCTGTTCTCAGTCTATCTGTCGACCAAGGCTGAATACTGTAGCAAAAACAAGGTTTTTATCGCCTTTGGAGCACAGAGGTGACCCTTCCAGAACCATGGACAGCACCCACGGCAGCAAGCACAGCTTCTGTTCAATTATCAGTGCTAGCAGGCTCAATGGGCTTCTCACCATTCCTGACAGCCAGAAGGGCCCTTGACATGTCTTTGAGGCAGAGATGGGCTCCTCTATGGATCAAACAAGCATATGAATTAGCTGTGGAAGTAAGATCTGCAATTGGGGATGTCTGCGGGGCGGTGGGGGGGGATTTCTAAAAAAAGCATGAGGGCACTAGGTAGAGGTAGAGTGCGGGAAGGGGAGCAGAGATCTCAGGATTTGAAAAAAATCAATCCAGAAACTGAAATTCTTTGAATGTCTATTTTTTATTGTTCTGTACTAAGCACTGGGTTTAGAGTATGCATAAATTAGCAAGACAGACAAGAGAATAAGTTGCACAATTGGAGAGACCTGTACAAATGCCATCCTTAATTCTTGTGAGCTATGTGAACCCAAGCAAGTCATTTAACTTCTTTGGTCCCCAGTTTCATCATCTGTAAAATGGGAGAGAGCCTCCTATCCTATTAAAGGTATTACCTTAATTCACTAGGATGCCATGAGATCATATAACATATTCAGTTCAAACATAGGAATTGTGAGGTATTTAACAAAATAATTAGATTAGTGGCAGAAAGGGTGGTGACTCCATTTACTGACCATGTTCTATCCACTGGACAATTTACATATTTATTTTCTCAGTATGAATGAAGATAAATGTCATAATTCCTACTGTATACATATGCAAAATGAGGATTCAAAAAATTAAGTATGTCACATTGTGAGTGACAAAGGTGGCATTCAAATACAGGTATGTTTAGCAACCAAAGCATCTTTTCTATTCTTGTCTCCTAGTGACCTGGTCATTTCTATTTGCATGACGTCCCCCTGGGTAGGCTGTTAGTTTGGGCCAGTATAAAGCAGGCAGCTCTTATTTGCCCTTCCTTTATTGGAGTGGAGATCCACTGAATCTGACTGCACAGAGATTCAGAAACTGATGGGATAAGGCAGAAACTGTGAGGTTGTTTGGGAAAAAACTGTACCCAGGATATTGGAACCAGTAAGTCATGAACAGTTTTGACCTATAGCTCAACTAGAGGCAGAAAATAGGCAAGCAGAGCCAAAACCTTGACCCAAGACCATTCAAGTGAAAAGCCAGGAACTTCTTATGCATGAAGCAAGCTGCCACTCTTTCCTTGATTTTCCCTGGCCCTCAGGGTACTGCACTGATGCCCTGACTGGTTTTCCAATGTTTGTATGTTGGTCCCTAAAGTAAAGTACAAAGCCGTGGGAAGAAGGCCCTCTTCTGGAGTCTAGGTAAAATATATCCACCTTGTTTTTTCATCTACTAAATATGAGCAACTTCATTTCAATATAGTTGCAGTGCAGATGAAGTGAATGCATATAGCATACAGGGCATTCGATATGTGGTCCATAAAATCTAGTTCCACTAATTATCCTAAAAGTCCCCAATACATATGAAAAAATGGTTTTCTGTGTACACCAGGAAGAACTCAGAATTCCCTTCATCTCTCTCCTTCCCTCCTTTCCTCCCTTTCTTCCTCTTTCCCTCTGTCTCTTTCCTCCCATACTCACATATATACAGTTGTGCCCCTGTGAATAAACACATCGTTGTAAATGAGTAATCTCTATCAAAATCTACAGAGTAAAATATCAAAGCTCTTCACTTTCCTGCCCCTGTGGTTATCACTGTTATCTGTTGTATACTCTTCTACAGTTTTCTCAATGCATTAAAATACACATTCATCTATCTATCTATCTATCTATCTATCTATCTATCTATTGATCTGCACATACATAGCTTTAATAATAAACAGACAAAACTGCACTATATATTATTATGAGACATGCAACATGCATTTGCACCTAATGTTATTATTGGTTTTTTTCCAAGTCAGTAACATACACATCTACTTTTTGAAATTGTTATTTGTTATCATACAGTATGCATCATGATGCTTTCAACTAATTTATATTGCTGGGCATTATATTTATATAGCAGTTTGTTATTACAAGCAGTTCCATAATGAATATATATATATATGTATATATACTGGATATATATTATACTTCACATATGTATGTTCTGTAAGACAGGAAATCTTGAGTCATTGTCTTACGAATTTTAAAATTGAAGTAGATCTACTAAATGGCCATCTATAGAGGCTCTGTTTATAGCCCTATCATTGATGAATAAGAAACCCAATTTTTCCACATTATCCATAGTCATTACTGTCACTGTGTGACAGAAAAAATAATTAATTTTCATTTGGAAATGGATTTCCTTAATTACTCATTAAGTCCATCTTTTCATCTTATGGTCATTTATATTCATCCTTCTATGCATGCTTGTGTGCTTTGACCATTTTCCTACTGTGACATGTCTTTTTCTTATTGGCTTTTATATCCTCTGCATATTTTCTGGACAGCTATTCTTTATTTTCCATTTATATAGAAAGTTTCTTCCAGTGTATACTTGTATTTTAATCTAATCTTTGATGTCTTAAAACCTCTATATTCTGGTCCTTTACTCTTTCTGAATTTTGTGCAATGTTCATAAAACCATAAGATAACAAAATATCTCCTTGCATATTATTCTAGCATTTTCATCTTTAGTTATTCAATATGTACAGAATTTGTTGCTCTATATGGTGGAAGTGCTTATTTTATGCTCTTAAAAAACAAGATCTTGCTGTGTAGTGCAGGCTTCCCTTGAACTCACTGTGTAGCTCAATTTGTCTTCAAACTAAGTATACTCTTGCCTCAACCTGTCAAGTGCTGTGATTAAAGGCATGTACCACTGTGGCCAGCTTAAACTACTTTTTAAATGGCACAACAATAATCATTTCACATTAACTTTTTAAAAAAGAATAGACAATTATCTTTTCACTAATTTGAAATACCATTGTATCATATATTAAATCCCAATGTATAGTATATATACATGGCTGGGTTTTTTCCTGTATAATTATCTCTACATTTCTGCACCAATTCTACATTATTTCAATTACTATAGCTATATGTCATGTTTTAGATATGGTAAAATAAGTCTCCTCTGCCTCACAAATACCAACTTTCTATTTCAAAATTTTATGACTGTTCTTCCTTATTTTCCCTTTCAAATTAACTTTAGAATCAGCTTGTCAAAGTCCATATAATATCCTAGTGAAACTCTGGGTGGCACTGTATTGAATTTGGGTGGGGATGCATTGATGGTGAAGGAGAGAGAGAGAGAGTAACTTTTATTTGTATGTTTCTGGGCTTTTGGTTTGGGCAAGAAGACTTCATTTGTTATAGCAACAAAGCTTATTTTATCCTGACTAATATAATATCTTCATAATTTGGAAATCTTCTAATTTAGAAGTAGAGTTTGCATTTCCATTCACTACCTATTCTTTAAAAATTTTTACTGAAGCTTCAGGCTTTTGATTTTTTTCAGGTTTTTGTCTTGTGGGGTTTATTCATGGGCATCTACAAAGGACACTATACTCTAGAGGTCACAAGCACGTGTTGGATCCAGGCAGACAGAATCTAAACCCTGATTCCACCACCTATTTGCTGTATGACCTCAGACAAACTGCTTACCCTCTCTGTACCTCCTTTGTTTATCAATAAAGAAATTCCTAGCTTGTAGTGCCACTATAAGGATAAAATGTGTTATGTATGAATACGGTGTGCCATTCTGCAGTGAAAGATATTATTATTAGTCTTTTCTACATCAGAAATAGGATCATTTTTTCCCCCATGTGTTTTTGCTTATGTTTCCTAATTAGTTAAAGTAAGTTGAGAAAAGCTATTCCTGATTTTTCGTAAGCAGCTTTTACATCCTATCAACATGGGGAAAATATATCTAACATGTCTACCCAAATTTCCTATATGTCTGAGGACATGTTAGTTTGGGAACTAGGGTAAGAGAGTAAGTTAGAAAACTGTCCTTTTTGTTCCTTTCTCTGGGCCAATTTATACAGGATAGTGGCTGTTTATTCCTTGATGACTTTAACAGGGCTTACACATAAAAATCCCTGAGCTCGATGTCATCTTGTCAGTCATAGATATTTAGTTCTCTTATCGTTTATTTCTACATTATCTACCTATTAAATTTTTTTATGTCATCCAAGCTCAAACTTGGAAATTTCTCTTTGCTAAAGATATAATACATTTTACCATGACTTTCAAGTTTTTTGGTATAAAATTGTACAGGGTATTCTCATTGAATCTGTCTTATCTTTGGTGCTTCTGTAGTTATGTCTCTAGCTCATTCCTAATGTGTTTATTTGTGATCTTTCTCTCTCTCTCTCCTTTTCTTTTGAATAGGCTTTTGTATTTTACTGGTGGGGCTCCTATTTTTTTCCTGTTCTATTTCATTTACTTCTGCTTTCATTTGTATTAATTCCTCCCTGCTCTTTTTTTTACTTTATTTTAAAATTCTTTTTCTGGCTTTTTGAGTTAAATGGTTCCTCTGTTTATTTTCAATCTTTTTAGCTTCTTAATAAATGCCACGAAGCTTCTGAGTACAGCTTTGCCCACATCCTA